CCATAACACGTGGCCCTCTGGCCATTCTGTTTCTGTGCAGCTCCAAGCTGCCGAAGACTGCACCGTGGGGTTCCGCTGCCCCGGCGAGCTGGCTTCCACTCCTTGCTGGGCATAGGAGTCTGTGGACAATTTGCATCATCTTTGGGCCTCAGTTTCCCCCTCTGAACACCGGCCTGCCTCACAGGGGCCCTGCCAGGATGAACCCGCCGAGGAGGGCAAAGTGCTGGGATGGTCTGTTGGTGCGGGGGCCATTGTCTAGAAACCGTGGGGTTCCGCTGCCCCGGCGAGCTGGCTTCCACTCCTTGCTGGGCATAGGAGTCTGTGGACAATTTGCATCATCTTTGGGCCTCAGTTTCCCCCTCTGAACACCGGCCTGCCTCACAGGGGCCCTGCCAGGATGAACCCGCCGAGGAGGGCAAAGTGCTGGGATGGTCTGTTGGTGCGGGGGCCATTGTCTAGAAGGGCAGCCCCACACCTCTTGTCTAGGTACCTCACCAGGACGTCTCTCCCGTGGTCGGAGCCACACGCCTAGCAAGCCCTCTGCTTCGGCCCTGGCCGGGAAACACAAGCCGTGGGGGTGCAGGGGGCTGGGCCCTAGCTAAAAGCCAGGGCAGCAGAGGGTTCACAGAACCAGAGGGGAGGAATTACCCTTTATTGAGCATTAGCACTGAGCCATCAGCGTGGCCCAGGAGAGACCCAGAGAGGGCTCCGGGGGGACCAGCCTGGTTTATTCTCTAACGGGGCTCAGGAAAATCCCACCCACCCCCAAAGACAGACACTTCCACGGGGGCGAGAGCAGGCGAGGCCTTGGCCTAAACAGACCCATCAGGACAAACCTGGAGCGAGAAGGGCGGAAGATCTCCATTCACTTCCTCGCTCGGGCGGTTGGGTGCCAGGCCAGCCTCAGTTTCCCCAGCTTTGAAATAGGGGTAATGATGTTTCTTTGGTCTCGCTTGTGGCAAGGGCTGGCTCTTGCCCCTTGAATGGGAAGAGCCGGGGGGCACAGAGGCGTTGATCCAGGCTGGTCAGCCACAAGCTTTCCCCCAGGAGGATATCTGGGCCCACCCGGGAGGGCACGGGACTGTTCAAACTGAGCTCTCCTTTGGTTTTTTAACCCCCCTCCCCTCCCTTCCCGGAAAATCACACACGCTGGTTTCCTCACAATCTTTATTGGAGGAAGGTGTTTGCCGTCTGCGGGCGTTGTGTGCCCCCGATAAGATAGGTGGCAGGCGGATAAGATACGCGGGGAGCAGGGACGCTCTGTGTGGGGCGAGAAAGCATTTCGGGCACCGGGGAGTTCTGCAAGAGGCAGCTTTCCTCGGGCGCAGGGCGAAGCCAGGCCGCCAGCCCGACACGCTGCCCCAGGGTGCCCGGAGACTCGCTGGTAACCCCAGACGCTCCCTCAAAACGCCAGGCCGGGCCTGGCTGCAGAGATAAGATACGCGGGGAGCAGGGACGCTCTGTGTGGGGCGAGAAAGCATTTCGGGCACCGGGGAGTTCTGCAAGAGGCAGCTTTCCTCGGGCGCAGGGCGAAGCCAGGCCGCCAGCCCGACACGCTGCCCCAGGGTGCCCGGAGACTCGCTGGTAACCCCAGACGCTCCCTCAAAACGCCAGGCCGGGCCTGGCTGCAGAGAGCACTCAACTCGCAGCCCACGCTGGAAATTGGGCTGGCGGAGGGCTGGCGGCTGTTTTCTGGC